TGTGAGTGAGCGTAGCGAACGAACTTCAACCTGGAGGCGAGTTAGCGTAGAGAACGAGCTAACCTGAAGGCAAGTGAGCGCAGCGAACGAGCTCCAACCTAAAGGTGAGTGAGCGTAGCGAACGAGCTCCAACCTAAAGGTGAGTGAGCGTAGCGAACGAACTTCAACCAGGACGTGATTGAGCCATGCGAACGAGATCATCTTGAAAATTAAGAAGTTAAACGGGGCAAAGCCCGCGGGTTACAGCTAGTTCCATTTAAATATGAGTACTCATAAGGTTAACATGGGAAACTCCAGAGCAACTGGGGTGGATCTGCACCAAACTTCACACAAACCATCTTTGAATAATGCTTAATAATGCCTGAAAGTTTCATTATAATCTGTCGAGCGGTTTCGGAGTCCATCAAGGACAAACAAACATACATTGGATTTTATATACATAGAAGATTATACTCAGCAAAATAAAGTCTATCAGCTTCAGTATTAAATAGGGAAACCAGCTGATATTGGAAAAACTGTCATAAACCATTTTGGTTAAGCTTCAAGATAGTCAACATGTTCAAAATTTATCTGTGATGTGATATATTTCATCAAGATGAAACAAAATGAAAAATTCTAGATTTGCATACTCATTTCACTCAAATATTAAGGTAAATAATCCTTCTAGAAGACAGTATTTAGTGCTGATAATAAGCCAAACTTAAACACTTTTCATTTAGGCCTAATGAATGCATTTAGCATTTAGCTATAATAAGGTATATAAAACCATAGACCATTAATTTAATGGGTAGGCCTACACAAAAACAAAACTCTCCCCAGGTCCCTATTTCTGGTTGTGGATCAGCAGGAAAAGTCCGATGGGAAACAATTTATTGTTATTTGTTACTAGAGAATTGCTTGAATGTGTAAAATAGCAATACAAAGAGTAGACAGTTTAACAGTAGAACTATACAGTACAAAGTGCATATACGACAGTTGAATTTCAAATGCTACATTCTTATAGAATATTTCAGGTATAAAAACCAAGGCCAACAATCGTGCTAATGGTCAATTATGTAAGACGTCTGAAAGTAAGCTTTTTTACTTTAACCTTATTTACTGCCTTTTGAGTTAACATTATAAAAGTGTGTTTCCAAGGATGTTCTTACTGTTACTTTCCTTTTAAAGGAGATCATTATTATTGATGATTTTTTTCTATATATCATTATTTTTTTCCCTTCACGATCCATATTCCTCCGGTTTTTATCATCAAACACATTTAAATTGCCAACTAACAATTGATCTTGTTTAGGCAAAATAATATACCGGTATGGATTAAGAAACGAAACTATTCTAAACTAACCTAGCATAACTAACCAAGCTTGCTGTACCATTTTAAAATTCCGTTTGATAACAGAAAAGCATGCGGGAATATAAAATATTACTTATTAGACATATTTTATTTACTTTCCGTAAATTTAATAAATTGTACAACGCTGATCAAGAAGTTAACTTACTTCAGATAGGCTAATGCACATAATATCCAAGTACAATTATGTAACTCTCATAATGCTACATATATCTCCATATAACTCAATTTTGTAATAGTCGTATTTTTATATTTTTTTATTAAACTCTGACATAAGTAGTTGTGGTTGAATCAGTTGTAGCCATCGTGAAATGTTGATGATCACACAATTACCACAGTACCATCACGATGACCTAGTAATTACTAATTAGCTATTACGTACCCTGGTTTCTACTGTCCAATCAGTGCTCTTGTACGGTGCAGAGGTTTGAGCCCATCATGTGCTGGAGAGGAGTTTCTTCCGTGACAGGCTCTCCCCCGTTCATCGTCGAGGGGCCTTGCGAGTTGCTTCCACCTACCGCACGGTCTCCGAGCCTGCAGCCATGGTGATAACCAGTGTCATCCCCGTCTTCCATCTTGTGAGGAAGTGACAGGCGATCTACCGCAGGAGATCTGAAGTAGGCAGAGAGACTGCTGCCAAAGAAGAACATGACAGTTTCAACCGCTGGCAGCACGAATAGTAGGCCAACACTGAGTCTCGGGGACGTTGGACCACCAGGCTCATTCCTAGCATCCGACCATGGGTGAAACGAGAGTGTGGTGAGGTTTGGTATAACGTGACCCAGTTTTTGTCTGGTCACGGTTACTTACGAGCCTTTTTGAAACAAATGGGGAAAGCCATCAGCCCGGACTGTCTGTACTGTCGTACTGTCCCGACCATATAGAACTACAACAAGTGGAATGCCGACTCAAGCTGCGCTAGGCGCTTGGAAACAAGCCGGCCCTACTCGGTCTAGACATAACTTTCGTCCGATCACGTCGTGTCGTGTCCCGTAGGCCTACAATTTTCAGTATTTTATAGCCTTAAATGTTCTTTTTTATGTCCGTGTACGTGTTTGTGTTTTGTTTATTTATTTATTATCTATTGACGACCTTCGAATGAAGCGAGAAGACATCTTAACTGCCTGAGGATGACTCCAATGTGAGTTGAAACCGGTAGCAACTCAGCTACAAACAAGATCGCATAAATGCAGGAATTTTACACCAATTTACAGTATTTAAATGCGACCAGGAGGCTAAAATTCAATATACAGTATAATAAATACTTCTGATGTGACATTGGAATCTTGAAAAGTGACAGTAAAATAGATAGTGAATCCTTCAAATCTTCGAACTGCTAGAAGTTGTAAAATTGTTGCATACTGATCAAATAATTTGTGTTACTTCTTTTTGTATTTAAATAACCAGACAAAATGTATCTATCAAGGCTGTTATATAACAAAGTTTCGGTTAAGCCGATTACTCCAAAAGTTATGTCACTCTTTAATCATGGTATTTATAAATAGTCGCACTGCAGGTAAATAAAATAAGAAATTAGAGAAAGATTGTATATTGATGCAAATTTAAATCAGATTATAAATTTATAAGAAAGTATAACAATTTCAGTGTTGAATGTAATGAGACGAAAAGAAACAATAAAAAGTCCAAGTGGAGGATATGATTGTGATTTCAATATTCCTAATTCCTATCAACCCCACAAACATGCAATGTCCCGGGAAGTTGTGAAAATTGTGTTATAGAATTGATTTTGGACCACTAAAATCCCCAAATTTGTAACATACAACCGGCCAGTTGTTCTGTGAGTGTAATGAGGGAATAATTCACAAAGACCTGCAAGGTGCTACTGATGTATTCAGGGGGCCAATCGACTTCTGAGTTGATTATTTGTTGAATTGTTTATTTTAATTGATTTTTGTTGACGCTAATGGGAGTTTATCCTTGTGATCCATAATTTCCTAGTCTTCAACCGCGGACAATACAATGTTTTCCCTAGAATCTCCTCTTTACATAATCAAACACTCGCACTGGAATTTATGATTTTTTAAGTTCAGAAATAGGCCTATTATAAAATATGAAATACAAAATACAATAATTTTAGTGACTGCAGAAATAGACCTTTACATATAAACATAATTTTAATCCTTTATCATAGATAAACATTGTTCTTAATTTAATTGGCTTAACAAATCATTTGTAATAAATTTTTTGAATTCTCATAATATCTAACACAAACTTAACCTTTATTGTGATATGGCGGATTTAATAAATAATTTTTCGTTTCTGAATTTAAGAACATGTGACATACTGTGTCCTAGGCTGACAAACTAGGACATGAAGTAGACAGACCAACTATAACAGGATTGTGCAAACTATGTATGAACCAGAAAAGTATAAAATGGCAGATTGGCAATACTAAGTTATCTATAAAACACAGACAATACAAAACAGTTACATCCGTACACAGGTCGACACACTTCCTCTCATACTGACTAAGATGACACACGGACAAAATTTAAAAACTGACTTGAAGCATTGTCTGACCGAGCGAAATTTTCACGACAACGGTTTTTTCACGGTGTAGGACTTATCAATTCTTTGTTTTTCGAGCTGGCATAATTTTGAAAAAATTGAAAAACCTCCACGATAATTGACGAATCGATGAGAAATAGATGTTTGCGATCAGTTTGATGCATGTACAAATTTCCTCAGGAATGCAACATCAATCCGGCAGTTTCAACTGACTCCACTTATAACTAAAACACTCCCCCGATTAGCAATTCGATGAAATTTTGACATTTGCTGTCATTTTGACGCACGTACAAGTTTCACCCGAACGCGAATTTCCAAGCTATGAATGAGACATTGATAGAATTGTCCTAACACCGGCGACACACCACCTTCAAAGTTGATGGGGTTGCTCCAAGTGAAGTTTGCACTTGCACTAGTTTTGGTCTTTGCCCTCGTTTCAATCCGCGTTACCTCATGGTTGAATGGAGTTGTGTTGTCCGTTGCCTTGGCGCGGATTTTAAACCTTGGAATTTAAAATCGACACAAAGTCAATTTTGACTGGCTTTAGTTTTCAGAGGAAATAAGAAGGGGAGCCTCAGTGGCATAGTTAAAAAGCCCTAGCCTGAAGTATTGTACTTAACATTCCAGACTAGTGTCCTAGGAGATGAATGGGGTTTTTAGCTGGTCCTGTAGTCCGGGGACATTGAGCCCGTGCGGGAGTCCAGCACTACTGAGAGACCATTGAGCATCTCAGTGTGCGTAAATACATTTTTACCTCCTCCCCACAAAAAAAAAATATATCCAATATTGATAAATGATCCAATATTGATATTGATATTAAATGTACATAATAAAAATATATTCAAATTCATATATATATAATTATGTACACTGAACTATACAGAAGATGATCAATAAAAGTGTTTCCCAGTGGTCTTCAGACTATTTTACATAAGAAATCCTCCTCAATTATTTTTTTAATTATTATAGTCATTAACATTTTTATAATAATTTTTTATATTTTTTTTGGGAATCATTTTTTATAAGAACAAGTACGCTTTTTCCTCTTTTATAGTTTAATACACCGCCCAACTTTCATCAAACTACAAATTCTCTTGTCTGTGCTTACACTTTCAGATACAGCAAAAAGATGGAGAACGAATGGAGGCAAAGAGAAGAACGATTAAGGAAGGAGAGGGAAGTGTTGATATATGTATATAGTTAAGTCCATGTTTAGAGGTATTACTCTTTGGTCTTTGTGTATTCTCTTTTAAGTGTATTTGATTTCCGATGCAGAATAAAAGATGTCGGCTCATTAACTGCAGCCTAAATGTAATTCTGTCGATGTTAATTACAATTTATAATAAATAGTATTGAAACTTCAATTGTGTTTTTATTTAAAACATGAAACATGGTGTCTTATAAGTGGGATACAAATAAATTCAAGTGCGTGAGTAATAAATTAACATAAAAATGTGTTATAACAATGAGTGAGTCGGAAGATGAAAACGTGCTTCAACAAACTGAACAAAGGACTGTGTCTAGAAAAACTGATAATTTCACAATGGTTCCATGCAATCTTCAGAATTTTAATTTCGAGGGCAATTTAGCCGAAAATTGGAAGCACTGGTATCAGAAATTTGAGATTTATCTCTTGGCTTCTAACCTAAATTCTGAAAATGACAATAGGAAGGTTGCTCTACTACTACATAATTTGGGTGACAAATGCATAGACATTTTCAATTCGTTCAACCTCTCATCCGAAGATGCAAAAAAGTATGACGTGGTGGTAAGTAAATTTGAAAACCATTTCTCGCCTAAGAAAAACCTCACGGTTCTGAGACATAAATTTCTAAATAGGAAACAGCTGCCATCTGAATCCATCGATAGTTTCTATACAGACTTAGTTAACTTGAGCCTCGCTTGTGAATTTGACTCTGTCCGCGAAAGTCTTGTTTGCGATGTCTTAATATCAGGGCTTAACTCTCAAAACCAGAATGTCAGGGAACGATTATTGAGAGAGCCGGAGATTAACTTGGAGAAGACTTTGGCAATCTGTAAAGCTGCTGAACTGTCTAAACAACACATCAGAGAACTTGAAGCAGAACATAATGTCCATTCAGTAAACGTCCATAAGCAACGAGAGAGGGGTTACCAACAACCACAAACGTTCAGACAGAAACAGGTTCATCAGGACCAACGGAACAAATTTCATCCACCGTCACAGCAGAAATCAACTGGGACAGGTAGGCCTAACAAGAGTACAAGTGCTAAGAAGTTTATTTCAAACTGCCGTAATTGTGGGAAAAATCACGGTATTAACAAGTGCTCTGCGTATGGCTTAGTGTGCTATAAGTGCGGTAAAAACAACCACTTTGCCAGTGTATGCAAATCAGCCAAAAAGGTTTGTGAAGTAGGCCTAAGTTTAGATTCTAATTCGAAAGATGTAGCTATAAGGCAAGGTAGGCAAGACAGTTCTTCTAAAAGTACTTGTGCACAAGAATATTTTTCAATTGATACGGTATCGCTCACGTCTGAATCTATATCTAATTACGTGATTGACAAAAACTTTTTATTCAGTAATATATGTTCAGTTAATGATTCTGTTCCTAAAAATTACATGTGTAAATCCAGGGCTAATGAATGGCTAGAGAATTTGAACATAAGGGAACACACAATATCATTTAAAATAGATACAGGTGCTCAGACAAATATCATCCCAATTGATTTGTTTAATAGGCTAGGCCTATCAAAGGCATTAATACGCACCTCGAATATAAATCTTAGTACACTAACTGGTGAAAAAATACCGGTACTAGGTATTGTAGATTTAGATTGCTCTTTCAACAGGAAAATGTTCTGTATTACTTTTGTAATAGTTGATGTGAAATGTTCGCCAATTTTAGGCTTAAATTCTTGTCGCGTTTTAGGTCTTATAACAGCCTACAACGGTCAGGTATTGTCTGATGTTAAGAACCAAAGTGTAAATAATATTGCTCTAGGTCAAAATATGCATAGGCCTAATGAAAGGGTACATTCTGTTAGTAGCATTTTGAATGAATACAGCTCACTTTTTGATGGTAGTATTGGTAACATTCCTACAACAGTTCATTTGTCATTAAGTGAAGATGCTAAGCCTATTATTGAACCATGTCGTAGAGTACCATTCGCTTTGTTAAATCCTTTGAAAAATGAACTTGAATTAATGGAAGCTAATGGAATTATTGTAAAAGAAAATGAACCTACAGAATGGGTTCACAGTTTAGTTTTAATAAACAAAAAAAATTCTGGACTAAAGGTAGTATTAGATCCAAGAAACCTGAATAAGTATATACAAAGAACACACTGTCAAATGCCAACTATAGATGAAGTGTCATCAAAGTTTAATAATTGTAAGATATTTTCAACTCTTGATGCAAGCAGTGCATTTTGGATGCTTAAGTTGGATAATATTAGTAGCAAGTTGTGTACGTTTAATACACCTTTTGGTAGATATAGATACCTTCGTTTGCCATATGGTATCTCAAGTGCACCGGATATATTTCATTCTACTGTATCTCAAATATTTGAAGGTATTGATGGTGTAGTCACCTACATAGATGACATTTGCATAGGTGCTCCTGATAAACAAACACATGATTTAAGATTAAAGGAAGTATTAAAAAGAGCTAAGGATTTTAATATTAAGTTTAACTCTAGGAAATGTAAATTTGCTGAGAGTGAAGTTTTGTTTTTGGGTCATCGGTTTACTGAGTATGGTTTAACTCCGGATCCTTCTAAGCTTAAAGCTGTACAGGAGATGCCAATACCTAAAGATCGTAAAGACTTGGAAAGATTTTTAGGAGTTACCAATTACTTATCAAAGTTTATTCCAAATTATTCGACTGTAACATCTCCTTTGCGAGTTCTTTCACATAAAGATGTTTTATTTCAATGGAATGCCGAACAACAAAATGCATTTTTGACTTTAAAGTCTTTGTTAGTATCTCCTCCTGTTTTATCATATTATGACCCAAGTAAGCCAATAACATTGTCTGTAGATTGTTCCTCAACTGGTTTAGGTGCTGTATTGTTATGTGGTGATAATCCAATTGCGTATGCGTCTAGAGCGCTCACTAAGACTCAGTCAAATTATTGTCAGATAGAACGAGAAATGCTAGCCATAGTTTTTGGTTGCACTAGATTTCACCAATTTATTTTCTCTAGGAAAGTAACTGTTGAAACTGATCACAAACCCTTAGAATGTTTGTTTAGGAAGCCCATTACTGCTGCTCCTTTAAGATTACAGCGAATGATGCTAAAAGTTCAACGCTATGACTTGATTGTTGTATACAAGCCAGGTAAATTGATGTATATAGCTGATACACTGTCACGTGCAGCACTTCCAGTAGAAGGTAAAGAAGATATTGATGTTTTAGATGAGGACATCATTTGTGAGGTAAATATGTTAAAATCTTATCTTCCCGTGTCTGAAAGTAAACTAAACCTGCTAAGAGAAAAAACCAGTTCAGATGAATGTCTAGGTATTTTAAAGATGTATATATCTAAAGGTTGGCCTCAAAAGCCTGAAGTCAGTAATATGGTTTTACCATTTTGGAGTATTAAACATGATCTTCATGTTGTAGATGATCTTGTTTTCAAAAATCAATCTATTGTTGTACCTAGTTCACTTCATAAAATGATGCTTGAAAGTTTGCATTGTGGCCATGTAGGAAAACAAACATGTGAGATTAGGGCACGCAATTTATTGTATTGGCCCACCTTACATAAAGACATTGAAAGTTTTGTAAATAAATGTAGTGTTTGTGCTAAGTTTAAGCCTATGAATGCAAAAGAACCGTTGTTGTTTCATGATGTACCAGATTTGCCTTGGCATAAAGTGTCAGGTGACATTTTTGAGTTTGATAACCAATATTTTCTTGTACTAATGGACTATTATTCTAAATATATTGAGTTAGTATCTTTGTCAGACATAACTTCAAAAACTGTAATCGAGAAATGCAAATCAATATTTGCTCGCCATGGAATTCCTGTTACTTTAGTAGTTGATTCAGGAAGTCAATTCACTTCTAACGCTTTTCACGAGTTTTCTGTGTTGTACGATTTTAAGCTAGTGATAGTTAGTCCAAAACACTCTCAATCTAATGGTCAAGCTGAGTCAGGTGTCAAAATAGCGAAAAACTTACTGAAGAAAACAAAAGAATCTAAGTCTGATGTGTATCTTGCATTGTTAAGTTATCGTAACACTAGTAAACAATATCAACCTTCACCAGCAGAGTTAATGTTTAGTAGAAAACTCAATGGCCTATTGCCACTGTCTAAAAGTAGTTTGCAGCCTAAAGTAACAAAACCTAACAAAATTTTGTCAGACAAGAGAAAAGATTGTATTAAAAAGTACTATGATAGAAATAGCAAAGAGTTACCCTCTTTAAATGTAGGAGACAAAGTGTATTTTAAGAAAACTGTTGATTCACCTTGGACATCAGGAAAAGTAGTAGAAAAAAATAGAATCCCCAGATCCTATGTTTTGTCTGATGAGAAAGATAAAATGTTTGTAAGAAATAGGAAGATGATTAGGCCAGATTTGTCTAATGATACCGGTACAGGTAATGAAACCATAATGCCTGAAACAAGTCCTAAGTCAGATTCACAAATCAGTTTGTCAGGTACTAATGGTAATAGCCTTATTTCTCCGCAAAGTAGTCCAGTGTTGTTTCAAAGACCAGTAGGCCTAACTCCTAGAATTTCATCAGAAGAACAAATTGTTAAAAGTTTCGATGGTTGTGTAAGCCGAAATGGTAGATTGATAAGAAATCCAAAGCGGTTGTCTTATGATTAGGTTTTGGTGTATATTTTGTTAGACTTGAAAGGAAAATGTTAAAGTTGTATTTTGGAAAGTTAAAATTTTCAATTTTGTAAAAGAGAGGGGATGTTGATATATGTATATAGTTAAGTCCATGTTTAGAGGTATTACTCTTTGGTCTTTGTGTATTCTCTTTTAAGTGTATTTGATTTCCGATGCAGAATAAAAGATGTCGGCTCATTAACTGCAGCATAAATGTAATTCTGTCGATGTTAATTACAATTTATAATAAATAGTATTGAAACTTCAATTGTGTTTTTATTTAAAACATGAAACAGGAAGAAAGAGAAGAATGTTTTAACAAAACCTTAACTATTGCCAAAAGTGTGAGATAATACAGCTCAAAGTATATATTTGCATTGATTGTAAGGTTTATAAAACATTATATCTCATTGTACCACATTTTAACAGGTTCAAAAATGTGCGTTTGTTAGGTCAGAAAAAAACAAAATGTTCATATTGATGAATAATAAAATCACTGTTTTAATGATAGTGACAGAACACCTCAGAGCAGGTAAAATGGAGTAATTTAAATAGCTACTTCCCTAGGGAAATTCACTAACAAATATTAAAGATATAAAATGTATAATATTAAAGCAGGCATATAAATAAAAATAAATTGTAATAGTAAGGCAATTTTTTCATCTTAACCTATCCTTATACGAGTAAGTCCAATAAAATATTGAAACTCTTTGCATTCAAAGTGTACTATGCTGTTATTAAATGCAAAACAAGGTCAATTTTCACTTTCAACTTTCAGTATTTAACCAAAATATGATGAAATGTGCAATTTAAAAATTTTGAAGATGTTCTAATTCTAAAAGAAACCCTCTGTTACTATTTAAAAATAATTAATTTAAGCCATAAATATAATCTGTATGAACTTTGAGTTGTGTTTTGATGATTACTTTTGTTTCAGCAATCTACTATTTTTAAAACTATTCTTGATGAAGAGGAGCATGCTCAGGTATATTTGAATTGTTTGATAGCGTATTATCTATATTGTTGGTTAAAAGAGATAAATAATAAATAAATAAATATATATATATATATATATATATATATATATATATAGAGAGAGAGAGAGAGAGAGAAAGAGAGAGATAGAGTTACAACTTTGACCCTTTAAATACATGATTAAAACCATAGAAATCAGAAAAATATGTATCATCATTCATATGAACAAAATACCTCTGTTGGGGAAAAGGAAGCAGACTATCTGTCAGGCTATTTAAAATTTTGATATTTCTATGTTGACAGAGTAAGTTTTGTAATCTTCAAAGCAAATAACAGAGTTCAACCCAATGTTTACTAGCAGTGGTACCTAGTTCATTTTTTTGCAGTGGTAAAGAAAATTTATTTTGGACATAAGATTCCATTTCCAAGTCAAAGTTGAAGCCTGTAATAGAGTAGAAAAGAACTCAGTGGTGTAGCCAAGGGGGGGGGGGGTTTGGGGGTTACAGCCCCCCCCTTGGGTGTCCCTATATATTTTACTGTTGAAGTAAATATGTTTTCGTAGTATACTTTTATGCTAACCAGTAAATAAAGAAAATGCTAAACAATTTACCTAGTCTTAGAAATATATTAAGTGTTTTACAACATTTTTCATGTCACGGCAAAAGGCGTACACTACGACTATATTCACCAAAAGCTTTGATGGTGCGGGGGTGGGCATTGATTCTATCACATGTAGCCATGTAGTCAGAGCTGCAACAGTACTAGTGGTTCCACTTCCACCAGTTCTACTCGCTCCCCGTTCCCACTGTGGATTCGCTAGCCCTAGCCGTCATTTTGCGCGGGAGAGTAGTCTGGTTGGTTAGTGTCACTGTCAGTTCAGTAGTCAGATAGACACTCACACTTTAGACAGATCACTGATGCCCTTACTGCGTTACTGAGTGGGTTGTAAAACAATTGACCGTGATTTGAGGTTGTGAACTTTTAGATAAAAAGCCTCGTTCACACGGGGCGAGTTTACAAGCTACTCGCCAGCGTGTTAGAAGCCGGCGAGTCGGGGAGTGTGCGTGTATTTCGTTCACACGGAGCTTGTCCACTCGCCAACTCGCAGACGTGTAGAAAGACGCCGGCGAGTTGGCGAGTGCGCTTGTAGTCGTTCACACGATGCTTTTTCCACACGCTCAGTAGCTAGCTTGAACCAAATCCTCCGACATCTTTGAATAACATGCGCACAAGCACAAGCAACTGTGTTCACACTCGGCCACTTTACACGCCTATTCGCTCAAAAGCTGGCGAGTTGGCGTGTAAAGTAGCGGCAGCGTCAACTTTTTCAAGAGCTTTTTTACAAGCAGCTTTTGAGCGAGTTCGTCGTTCACACTGAGCTATTTTACTAGCTGCGTGTAAAAAATCCGGCGTGTAGCTTGTAAACTCGCCCAGTGTGAACGGGGCTTTAAATTACGTATCGATCATTGGGTGCTGAAATATTACGTTATCTCATCATTATCCTTGTGATTAATTACATTTACATATCTGAAGTTGAATTAACTAAGATAGCCCGGAAGAAATGAGTGATGATAATTGTAAGCGGCCTGGGAAGAAACGGAAGTTAGGCCAATGTGAGCAAAATGAAAAGCATGCAAAACTATTAAGAAACTATTTTAGTAACATTTTTAATATTCTTCTGTAAAATGTTACAAATTTAAATTCATGTTTAAACACCTTAATCAAATAGGATAAATATAATAAAAACTCAATTAAAAATCAATTTATGTTTTAAAAATTAATATGTCTAGATTGCATAAAAACGCTAGTTTACAGCTATTATTTTTCAAAATTTTTCCGGGGGGGGGACCCCCGGACCCCCCTCTCGACCCCCCAGGCCCCCCGGCATGGTCACGTTGAATAACCCCCCCCTTAACGTAATCCTGGCTACGCTACTGAAAGAACTTGATTCAATTGACCCACAGATAGAATGCAGGGCCGGCGGAACTGGAAAACCATGCTAAAACTTTTTACTCAAGCCGATTACATGTTACATGTACAGAAAAAATTTACATCTGACTAGGCATCCCCCCTGCCCCACCCTCTAGCCGGCCCTGATAAAATGTGTGTTGCTGTAAATTCTCGTTTCGTTACACACTAACTTTTTGATCCTGTTGTGTAAAACTGTAAAACTTAGAATAGACTATACTTACTCACTTACTTACTGACATGGCCACTTATATCCAAGCTGGTACTTGGCCTCACCAACACGTTGTCGCCAGTTACAGGTGGGGTATTTACCTTTTGAATCCAAACTAAAGTCAATGATTTTTAAATGTGAGTTTTTTAAATTTACCATGAAATCGGTTCAGTGTTTGAAACTAATTCCTGAATGCACATTTTTGTGATAACAGTTGAGATACACAAATAAAAACTACTTTCTAGATTAAGTGGAGTTAGCAGAAGCAGAATAAAGGTCTTAATGAATTGTTGTGAGTAATTACCATCAAACAAATAATGTAAAACACTGCCGAGAATTCATTATTTAGCTCTGTTTCAAGTTTCACAGGCTTTCAAAACCACAGTGTCACTTGCCGAAGAAGAGAAGTTTGTTTCACAGAATACACTTTGTTACTCTGAAGAAACTCTTGTGAGAATACAACACAAACCGATACATTAATTTCCTTCAAACGCACAAATGAGCATATACCATATTTTTAATGCTTTAAATGCAACAGGTTACTAGCAGGTTATATGCAGGTGTTACTAGGCCGTTTTGGTGTGGTCTTTGCTAGGAAAGACTTATTGATACATACTTTCTCAAAGGATTACATTTTCATTTATTGAAATTAATCCAGATGCTCCATAGCTAAATCGTAAAATGTTAGATTGACAACCTGTCTCGTTTAAGGTAGAAAAGACACATATTTGTTCATATTCTACTGTGTTATAGAGGAGAGAAGGAATGAGGTATGCCTATCTTCAACATGGATCGGAGTTTGACCCTTATCAGATACAGGTAGGCCTACAAAATTTGACCTTCGTAGTGAATAGTTATAGTGCTAAACTACAATTGTGATTACTTAGATTAGTGAATGAATATAGATGTACAGTGTGTTATCCGAGTAGCTTTTAACATATAGCTAATGGTTAATGGTTAATACACAATCAACCTAAGTCTATTGATTGAGATAGTTTCAGCTGTAAACCGCTGTAGCTACCCATTGGCTGACTTATTTTTTCACTTAACAGAGGTTGCCATTGATGAGTACAGCAAAAGTAGGTCTACATTTTAAATTCGCAACTGCTTTATTCAACTGTAAATTTATGTTCCTTTTTGATTACATAGCTGTGGATTTACCCATATACTGTAAATATTGTTTTTGTCCAAATGTTCGAGTTTAAATTTTTGGTGGATGTATCCGTTTTTGGTCCAACTGAATTCAAAAAGTGTTTTTTGAAGTGATGTCTGTGTGCGTAAGTGAGTGAAAATCTAAAAACGTACGTTTTCATGTCCCTGGCCTTTTACTTCGTAGATACTGGATTTGTAGTTTATTATTATGTGTTTTAATATTTTTTTGGGACGGGGGCAACATGTTACACACATTTATTTGGTTTTAAATAGGTTGGTTCTAGGTATTTTTTTTTTATTTTTAAAGTCTCAAAATTCACGAGCATGACGTGTCCCTAGGGTACATTTTCCAACTTTCACACTGTTTTTAGACTAATTATTCATGCCGAAATATATAAAGCCATGTTTTTATGTCATCAATAGTTATTAAACTTACAAAATAGGAGCATATTATAATTTTATTGTCATTGCAAACTGACTACCATGACAAAATAAGTCTGTCCCTCGATTTGGCGTCAGGACCATTTGGGAAACATTTTCAACTTTGGAGCACGACAGTGGCAAGCCTGGTGTCGATTGCGTCAGTTCGTTTTAGAGACTAGTTCGGGGTGTACATCAAGTTTTTGTAGTGCCGGTCGTTTCGAGTTGAAAGGAGGAATTACAAGATCAATAAAGGCAAATTTGTGTTTTTTGTAATTTTGGTGTGTCCATGACCGTACGCGTACGCAGTCATTCGATGAAGTAGACAAGGTGTTAATTTTTGTTTATGATATATTTCAATTGCTAGATTAACCTAGAAGTCCACTTTGTATCCTCGAAAATGAGGTGCAGGGCTACCGCCAGAACAGAGCCAAATAACACGTAATGTCACGACCAAAGTTGCATGACCATCGGGGGTTTTTCACGACCAATCCAGCCTTATGGATTTTACTGTGTTTGGTCGTGACAATAACTTAAATATCATTGTAAATTGAACATGTCGTTCAATTGAAACACATATTTTTATTATAACTATCAGTATAATTGAAGGATTGTTTAGAAAGATTTAGATTATTCCAGACAATTCACGACCGTACCGCTTGTCCCTCATCATCACGTTTATGATTTCTATCATACAAATTTCAAAAATTAAAATATCATCATATATTAATGTTTTATACACAAAATAAGCACACCTCTATAAAAACATAACAATTTTTCGTGTCTCAGGTAAATTTTTTCTGAGTTATACAAACTTAAAAATTTATTGGCTTTTTCAATTTTTTTATTTTTTTATTTTTTTTCTAGAAAGACCAAATATACATATGTACAAATATATATATATATATATACCAAAAGCTTAGTGAACTGTTTATTGTATAATGGCCATAAAAGTAAATTAATTTATAGCAAAACATAATTATCAAAATAATATTAACTATTTTTAATATTCAGTTTTATGTCCGTTATGGTCGTTTCAAAATTTCGTGTTTTTCCATCAAAGATGCTCTATTAATAAAAAATCACCAAAGATATTGCGTTACCATGGACATTTTATGAAACTTCAAATGTCAATGAAATAAAAAAAAGAAAAAAAGTTTCGAAAAAAGAAACAAAAAATTTTAAAAGTGCTTTTCCTGAAAACGTACGTTTTTAAATTTTCATTTAATTCTGTATGTGTGTGATATGTACAGAGCTTGGACCACACCACCTGTGGGAACTAAATCCATGGTATCTCCAGGTGTCATTTCATGTTTTTGAGATTTTAATCTTAATGGTGATTTCCTCAAAAAAACTCATAAAATAAAAAAAAATTATTTTCCCAAAAAATATCTTGAGCGATTTTGATTAAAATTTAGTACGTTATTGTCCTTTTAACTCTGAACATACAACCCCTATTGCTGTAAAAACTGTGGTTTACAAGTTATTGCAACTTATGTAATTTTCCCCATGAGTTCAAACATCCATGGCCATGGGACAATCAGGTAGGTATTTTAACCTTTTATTAATTTGTCAGCTACACTAATGCTTTCCAATATGAAATAGTTATTACTAAGTCTTTTGAAGGTAATTAATTCAACAACTTATTATGAGCTTATTATATTGTTACAGAGTCCTCAGTTGGGTGCTCCAGGAAATGTGAGTGAGAGATACCATTTATTGTACTTAACAAGAAATAGAAAGATGGAAAATGTCTGCAGTAATTTTCGTAAATAACATTTTCAGCATTGATTATATAACACATTTGGGGTGTGGTGACACTCAGCAAACGGGATAATTACGACTGCTAAAAAATGCAGTCTTTCACCACAAAACGTTATGCACTAATATTGACTAAACTAAAAAACTAAAACTCAAGGAAAAGCCAAGGACGTTTTGTAGTTTTCAACGTGCCAGGAATTGATGCATATGTTCCACAATCCCACAGACCCGCAATTAGTAGTGACTTTCCGAGATCCCAGGTCTTAACGCATCACAACAATACTGATCAACAGCTGTTATAGCAAATTTTCAATCTAGCTAGATAGATTGCTACTGTCTCTCGTCTGCTGTATGAAAATTTGTTAGGGGTAAAGGTAGGGCCTAAATGGTAAATTTAAGTAAGAAGAATAGGGGAATGTCTTCGGAAGACAAATTGGAATTGGCTTTAACTTACAGCTTAACTCAACCAAACATAGCAATACTGAAAATGAAGATGATTTACAGGTGAAACTTATAGCCTCAGTTTATATTTTACAAGCTATAACTAGAGTAAAATTAATATTTTTTAACATGTTAACGAGGTGTTAGCCCGTCCTACGTACGGGAATTCAGTAGTCAGTTAAAACCGTGTACAATTCAGATCAGCTAGTTTACACATATAAAGTCAACGTTTCTTGCAGTTTTAATGTGAAGAATCTTCTTGTAAACAAATGTTGTGTGACGAAATACGTTTTTATTCCATCATAGGCCTATATGATATGCATTTTGAATCCAATAATTTTACAATAAAACAGCAATTCTGCTATTTTTACGGTGTGAAAAGCGTTGAAGTGAGATTTGCAGCCGATTCGCACAGACGCGCACTGATTATAAGTACAGTAGAGCCTGATCGCCTAATAGAGAGAGTAATAGCATAGATAAAACATACTCCCTTAGTAGATTTCTCATCCTTATGGAACAGCTGAAGAGAATTTTATTGTTAGTTCATGTACGGTTTATGTAGAGGTCGTGTTTTGTTTACAATTTGTTTCCCGTTATTAAACCCATTTAAAACCTCGCTTAACCAAATAATACGATCTAATCATAAACAATAACTTGTCCCCTAGTTATATAACCAAACAGTAAAGCAGATATCAAGAAATTAACCCTAAAATAATTGAAACAAAGTTTCATCGACACTAGCGCCTTTGTGTCACGTACATGAACTAGACACGAAAAACGTGCTTCAAAATTTACAATGGGATGAGAAGTCTACTTGTGTTGGTTAGTCTATGGTAATAGTCAATTGAAAAGTATGTAGACCTAGTCAACGATACCACCTTCCATAGCATACCTGCCTCTTACATAATAATTATCACCACAATATAACTACTATTCACAATTCCCAGTAGGTCTGATTATAAACGAGCTAAAATAAAATGATAGTATCCAATAAAATTCACTGTACACATAATTAAACTGTGGTGTCCTAACATCAAAACTAATAGTCACACCTATCCTTTATATCAATTTCACTGCATTAGCCAGTAGCCTATGAGCCTTATTATGCGCGGCCACTCGAGTGGCGCGCGACCGCGACTGCTCAAAGGCCACTTTTAGCGGGCCATGTTATCATATGGAGCTTATTAAGCGACGCGACTGCGGTGGCGAGGCACGCGACAGTCGCCGCGACAGTCGCGCACCCTCGCTACTAGTCGCAAGCCCACGCGACTGTCGCGTCACCAGCGGGCCATGTTATCATATGCTGTATATTACGCGCAGCCACAGTCGCGGGCCACAGCGGACCCTACTGTCTGCCCTCGCCTCAGTCCTGATTTTTGTTTCAACATTTTATTATATTAATTATTTATTAATAAATATTGGTTTTCTTTTCCGAGTCGGTTCGGCTCTTCTACCTGACCGATTTTCATAATTTTGGTCTTAAATTAAAGGTATTCACGAACAGATATCTACTGCATTACTCGACCAAAAAAATAAAGCCGTATTTTGCCAGTTCTGGTTACATTATCCTATATGTTTTGGTCTAAGAACATTCAGTAAAATTCCAGATTTGAATTTTCAGCTATTAATTATTAAGATCGGACGTACGTGAAGCACGCTACTGAATCACGAATCAACAATAATAATTATTATTTGAACACTTACCTGCAATCAATTATTCGTAACTCCACTTTGAGTTATTCTACAGGTCTTAGTCTTAAAATAGGACTACCCCTTAAAACAAAGGCTTTCATTTGAGATTTTGACCATTTGAATCAGTTAAGTTCATGATACTGTCTGTAGCCTATTACTCAATTATTACTATTATTGTGAATATGATGTTGACCCGGGCAAAGCTGAGTTTTGCTGCTAATATTGTATTACTATTATGATTAAATCAATTAAAAACCATTAAAATATTTAATTCAAAGTAAGTGCTTGCCTCTCCTTAGCTGAAATTAAATTTATTTATTTTCTTATGCGATACGGATAAGTCACCTTAAATTCTTCCTAAAAGGTTATAAAAAGAACGTCTCGTCTCCCGAAAAAAAAACAAAATACATCTTGTCGTCATCTCTGAAATCATCATAAAAAAACTGAAAAATACCCCTGAAGGTCTTATTTTTAGTAACGGATTGCCTCCAAATCCTTTTGTTTCGTCTACTTTTACGACGCTTAAGTAAAAGTCAAATAAATAGTTCAGCTTCTTTACTTATTCACCCTGAGAAACATGTATGTCTGTTAAAAATTCGGTCAGACGCGTGGCCTCGCCACACCTGTCGCGCGTCCTCGCCACACCAGTGGCTACCCCAAGCGACAGCTTGTACAAAGAAATTAAATATAATATTTTCCATAACTATGAGGTAGGTTTATTTTAATCTAACCTTTTATAATGGATTATTTATTATGAAACTATGTCAATGATTATAGAAAAAAATTATATAACCGTTGCTGTATCAACTCCGGCTCTGCTTTGGATTTTTAAAGCGTCTAAGTTATTAAAATAATGTTATTGATATGTTTTCATGAAAACAGTATTAAAATTAGAAAGTATAGATGTTTTATATGAATTTGGAGGCTAATTTAAATAAATTCTAACTGCTTAACATGTGTTGGATTAACTTAACATAACTAAACTTGCACATCACATTGTTTTTTATATGTATATTTAGGTAAATTAAGTTATTGTGTTTTGCTAAATCTATGCTTAAATTAAACTAAAGAATATCATCAATAACTAAATTGTACGTTGATTTTTGTTTTCTAAAATCTGTTGTATATATGTAATTATATTTAATTATCAAATGCTAATACAAAATACTCTTATTTTATCTTAACATAGCTTTCAGTTCACATTTACTTAATTTGATACATTTATTATTTGTTTTTTGCCACAGCACTGATTAAAGTACAGTGTTCTTTTGTTTCTAAAATCAATGAAATATCTGTTACTATGTTTACTTAATGGTAAGTGTGAAAATGTAAAGGCAATGGACGATGGAACTGACTAAAAGAACGAGTTTGTAAATTAAGTTGTTTGTTGATATTTTTGTAGAGTAGAATCAGAGATGCAATGAAACATATACTGTATTCGCTATTACATTTTTTAGTCCTTGATGCTTTGATAATGATATTAGTTTTGTCTGCTGTCTTTAATGCTAAATTATTTGTTTAAAATTTTTATAGTACCTATAGATATAGTTTCTTTAATATTTCAAAAAAAAAACTGTATTGATAAGGCACAGCAATATTTCTAAAGTTTATAACAGCTGACTTAAATCATGTATGTCAATGTTTTATTCGAAGATTTGGTAAGTTTTTCTCATTTCAGCCTACACAAGATTTAAAATTAATCAAAACCAAAATGGTGGTATCCACTACTTACCAGATTTAAAAGTCATATAACTTAAACGTTTCTATTTAGGCTATAAAAGTTGAATTTTGTTTCTAAAAGCGTTGGCGGATGTGTAACTATTATATGCAACAGACGTAAAGATTAAAATGTTTCTATTTTGTGTCCTCTTCCCGTTGCAAAGCACGGGTACAACCGCTAGTTGCTAAATAAATAAGCGTAGACAAATAAATTAAAAGTAAAAATAAAAACAGTTTGTTTTGAAACAGCTGTTTGGTTCAAATAACGTTCATTTGAAAAAAGAACTGGTCACATCATGGTCACATGTAGCAGGAATATAAAAAGTAAACACGCTAGTAAAGCTAATGACGTAATTGTCAATGTTTATTATACATACCGTTATCAGTTCTATCCTTGATAATTACCCACCCTCATTGAATAAATGTAGCCTACATCGTAATTTCCCATATTAGTTAATTTAAACTACAATATATTCATAGTTGAAAGAAAATTGATATTTTCCCGTTTGGGGGCGCTGATATAGACGCCCCCAAACGTAACCACAACTGAACACGATTTCATAAAAGGATGGTTTGTCTAATTGCAGTATCCTAGGTCAATGTTGACGTTGTGTTCAATCTATGTCATCCATCTGTTTATCTTTGTATAAAACCCGGCTGAGGTTGTGGTGGTAATTTAAAATCGTGATTCCTGATTATTCTTGATCTTCTTTTTATGACACCAATATTTCCGGGCCTAATCCAAACAAAGTTAAAGCAGACAAACATTAATTGTAAACAAAAAGCTACCATGAAGAATTAAAACATGTAAACATTGTTATTTTTCTAATCTTTCCTTGAAAAGTGGAGCAGTAAAATAATTTGCATTTATCCTTTTTATTAAGACTCGTGTACAGAGCCTCGATTTGTACTGTGGTTTTTTTTTAATTTTGGTTAAAACTGTGGTCTAATTATCTCTACTAATCTTACTTATTTCCTATAATCAATGACAAAAATAAAATAACCTCATAGTTACATAGTTTATATTTAACCAACTGTTAGTTAAAACAAATTATATTGCTCTAAAACAGATCGAAGATTACAAA